AGACAGAGAGAGAGAGAGAGAGAGAGATGAGTGTGTGGTTGTGTGTGTGTGCCTGTCTGTGTATGTGTATGTGTGCGTGTGTGAGTGTGAGTATGTGTGTGTGTGTGAGTGTGTGTGTGTGTGTGTGTGTGTGTGTGTGTGTGTGTGTGTGCGCGCGTGTGTGTGCATGTGGCCGAGAGTGATTTCTGTCACAATTGTGTGGATATTTAATCTGGTGGGTGGTTGGCGGGTGCTCTGTTATGGTTTGATTCAGCCTTCATATCCAACATCTATCATCCTCATGTCTTTTCCTTCTTTAACTTATTATATTCTGTTTCTGTCTAGTAGCAACACCTCAAGTCTTCGTCACTTCTTTTTGTAGCAAGCACAACAAAACTCTTGAGAATGAAAAGGAAACATTTGTACAGTTATCCTTACCTAGTCTTGGCGAGTAAAAACATCGTGAATGTGAATGGCATAGTTTGGATGTGTGCTTGTATTGTGCATATTGTGTTTAAGAGCATGCGTGAGAGTGAGAGGTCGAAAGAAAAAAAAGGGGGGAGGTGATGCGTGGAAGGGCGGTTGCGGGTGACAATAATTGCGTGTATGATGAACGTGTGTGCATGTGTCTCTGTGGAAGTTAGAGTATCAGCAAGTTATGGGCTGTGGGAATACCCATGTCTTCAAGAGTTTGTTTTTTATGTTCCTATCAGTATGTGTAATTCTCAGTACACTTATGCCCAAACTAATCGTGTTTTGGTAGTTTAGTTTTTGTATACTTTTGGTGTTTTATTCTTTTTAAAAAAATCAAACTGTTGTTCTTTGCTCTGTTATGTCCCTGACGCTGCTTAGTGTTCGAAAATGTATTGTTCTCAACTAACGACTCCCCCCCCCCACCCCGCTCCCCCCCTCTCCCCTCAATCTTTGGCATTCTCTCCCCTTACCTCGTACTATAAACCCCCATTATAATCGGCAGTTTTTAAGCACATGGGGGCTATCCCCCAAAAATGCTGTTTAGAGAAAATCGAAGGTAAAGTTTTTATCCCTTGTTCAGTTTCTTTAAAATACAAGGAGAGTTTTCTCTATAAGCATAGAAATATACTCAATAATGAAACCAAACTTCTCCTATAGGTAGGGCAATGCCCACTTTTGGTGCAGGTCAAGATTTCTGAAAACCCTGAAATCTGGGTTAGCCTGCTTATCCTTAAAAGCGACCAATTATCCTCTTAACAGATATTATTATGTACAGTTGGACATACTGGTGGGTAAACAGAACGATAAAAGACAGAAGTGAAAGATCTAATTAGTAATTGTTTCTTGTTGATGTCGCACTATCGGCCTATTTGTTATGACATTTGGCTATCGAGGGTAGTTGGCGGGTGCTGTGCTATGGTTTAATTTCCTTCTTTCCTAACAAACATCTATCACCGCTTCCTCTCCTCTTTCTTTTCAGTGCATGTTTTTTTTTTGTTCCGTGTCCTGATTTTTGAGCCCACATATGTAGGTCACGTAAGAAATGTCCAGACTTGGTGCACATTTTTATGTTTTCTGGAAAAACGAAACAAGAAAAAAGGGAATTGTTTAGTCGGTGATAATGATGCTGATGATCATGTTAGATACTCTCTTGTAAACCTCTAATCTTCGACACTGATATGACCTATTCGTGTTGCGAGTACCGTAAAACGCAAAACTTTTATAGAAACTTAACTAAGCTTGCCTCGCGATACCGTAACTAGATGGGTATCGGTCCTCTATGTTGAAACACAATTATTGTTCTTCACCTTTGCCTAAAAAGAAAACAAGTAAACGAAACTACCAAACTGTACCCGAAAACAAACCCACCGAAACAAATGCCTAACGGTAATATCATGACTATTTTTATTCGAAAATATCCCAGAAAAGCTGTAAGAAATAGAAAAATGTGAGCCTTTGGAAAATGAATCTTAGATCAGGAATATTGTCATTCGTTTCTACATCAGCAAATTACTTTATTTTATTTTGTGTCTGTGCATTGACATCATCATCATTATTCTTCTTCTTCCTCTTCTTCTTCTTCTTCTTCTTCTTCTTCTTCTTCTTCTTCTTCTTCTTCTTC